AAAAAAAAAAAAAAAAATTTTTTTTTTGATTTATTGTAGAGATGAGGTCTCACCAAGTTGCCTGGGCTGGTCTTGAACTCACAGACTCAGGCAATCCACTCACCTCGGTCTCCCAAAGTACTGGGATTACAGGCTGAGCCAACAAGCCCAGCCTTGTCTTAGTTTTTAACAAAAAAGTTAAAAAAATAAAAAATAATAATAATTTTAAAAATAGAAAAAAGCTTATAGAATAAGGATATACAGAAAGAAAACATTTTTCTACCAGTTAAGTGTTACTGCAAAAGGCTCAAAAAGTTTAAAGCATTATAAAGTTTAGAAAGTAAAAGTTACAGTAGACTAAGGTTAACTTATTATTGAAGAAAGGCATTCTTTATTTACGTCTTTTAGCTTTTTAAAAAATGTTATCTTATTAACCGGGCATGATGGCGCATACCTGTAATTCCAGCTACTTGGAAGGCTGAGGTGGAAGGATCACCTGAGTCCAGCAGGTTGAGGCTGTGGTGGTCATGAATGTGTCACTGCACTCCAGTCTGGGCAAAAGTGTGAGACTCTGACTCAAATAAAATAAAATAAAATAAAATAAAATAAAAATTTATCTTATTTTAACCAGGCATGGTGGTTCACACCTGTAATCCCAGCACTTTGGGAGACTGAGGAAAGAGGACTGCTCGAGTCCAGGGGTTTGAGACCAGCCTGGGCAACTTTGCGAGGTCTTGTCTCTACAATCAATAAAAAAATTAGCCGGGCACGGTGGCATGCACCTGTAGTTCCTGCTACTTGGAAGACTGAGGCAGAAGGATTGCCTGAGCCCCCAGCAGGTCAAGGCTGCAGTGGCCATGAGCATGCCACTGCACTCTAAACTGGGTGACAGAGTGAGTTTCCTACTCAAAAAAAATTTTTTTTTACCTTATTTTATTTTAGAGTTGTGAGGTACCTGTGAGAATTTACTACATATGTGAATAGTGCAGGTGAAGTTTGGATTTCTAGCAGGCTCTCTCTTTTCTTGATAGTGGGCCAAGTATGTGGTTGTGTGACCCTTATCCCTCCTCCCTCCTGCCCTCCCGCCCTCCTTTAGCAGTGTCCAGCGTCTGTTGTTCCCACCTTTGTGCTCATGTGATCAGTGATCAGTGCCCACCTATGAGTGAGAACATGTGGTACTCAATTCTTTGTTTCTGTGATAATTCACTTATTATAATGGTCTCCAGAGGAAGTTTTTAACATAAATGTAGTGTAGCCTAAATGTATGGTGTTTATAAAGTCTATAGTAGTGTATAGTAAGGTCCTAGGCCTTCACATTCACTCACCACTCACTCGCTGACGCTCCCAGAACATCTCTGGTCCCACAAGCTCAATTTATGGTAAGTGCCCTATACAGGTGGGCCTTTAAAAAAAAATTTATACCCTATTTTTTAAACTGTACTTTTTCTATTAGATATAAATAAATATCATTTATTGTGCTCCAGTTGCCTACAGTAGTCAGTACAGTAATATACTGTATAGGTCTGTGACCTGGTGGCAATAGGCCTTATCATATAGCCTTGGTCTGAGTAGGCTTTACCATCTAGGTTTGTGTAAGTACATTCTAGAATGTTTGTACAGCAACAAAACTGCCTAGCAATGCAACGTATTCCTGCCATTAAGCAATGCATGACTGTATTTATCCATGATATTCTCGGCCACATGGAAAAACTGGCTAATGCTCTGGCCATCACGACTCCCAGACTTCTTCTCAGCATTGGTTTTAAGGGTAGTTCTGGTCCAGAGGAGAGGTGGTCCATGCTGGATGAAAAAATCCTTTTATGGGCCTGGCCATGAAGTAGCTGCACAATAGCTCTTAGTTGCCTTCCCTGACTTAGAATTATACAACCACTTCAACGATCCTTCCATTTTCTTTCCTATTCTCTAACCTCAAGAATGATACTTAAACTCTCAACTTAGAGACACTGTGCTCCAGGAAAGAA